CTCGGCATTGTTTGATTTCTCTTTCTTTTTTTTTTCTTCATGTTCTTTTTCCAGGTCGTTCACGTGGCGCAGAGCTGTTTCCAGGTGGAAGCCTTCGGACGTACATTCACGTTGGACCTGGAACTCAACCAGTTAGTACTGCCCGCTCAAGCTTGTTTGTTCGGACATGTCAATGCGTTAATCGCTGCAGATGTTTCACATTAGTGTTCGAACGCACACGCAGACACGCACAGAGGCCCCTCATGTGTCCTCTATTTGCAGTCACCTGCTGTCCACGTGGCGCAGAGCTGTTTCCAGGTGGAAGCCTTCGGACGTACATTCACGTTGGACCTGGAACTCAACCAGTTAGTACTGCCCGCTCAAGCTTGTTTGTTCGGACATGTCAATGCGTTAATCGCTGCAGATGTTTCACATTAGTGTTCGAACGCACACGCAGACACGCACAGAGGCCCCTCATGTGTCCTCTATTTGCAGTCACCTGCTGTCCTCGGACTACGTGGAGCGCCATTTCACGCCGGACGGCCGACCCTTGCAGTCACTGGTAAGAGTCGCAACTAGCAAATGTCAGCCACAGTTGGGGGTGCGTTGCCTTTCTCAGCAGTAGTCAGGAAGCAGGCTCACCTGTTTTCTGGGGTTGGTCACGTGACGTGTGCACATTGAGCCCGTGTGCTTTCCGACGTCAATTTCAGTCGACGGCAGGTGGCAATAAAAACTGTTGGATTTTTCATCTTAATTCGTTTTTCCACTAACGCAGTGTCACCAAAAGAGGCCAACTCAAATGAATCCAAACTACTTATTTCCACTTAAAAAAAAATAAATAAAAAGGCTGATTCATGAGGCGACATGATGCCACAAGGTTCTTGCAAAGTGCGAAAAAATATTAAATTGACCATATTTGAGGCATCCACCTGACAACAATGACATTTTTTTTTTCTGTCCAATGAAAAGCACAAAAATGTAGCTGTTGTTTCATGGATTAAAAAAAAAACACAAGCGTCACAAAATATGCCTGCTTTTCATTGGTCAACCACAGTGTGTAGGAATGAAATCTGAGCAATCTGATTGGACAGTTGGTCAGTCCTTCACTCTACGTTAGAATTTTTTTTTTTTTTTTTTTAATTACATCTGTGCAGGGGTATCTAATAAAATGGCCGCACAGTCTATTTTAGGCTCCACGTTTGCTTTGAGGATATTTTTATGCCTCGTCGATGGTTATTAATTGTCACGATGTGTCCTAGTTTTGGATCACACTTCAAAAGTCGTCTGCCGCGCAACCATTTTGTACCTTTGAATGTTACATTCGGACTCATACTAGAAAAGCAAAAAAGCACCTGCTCTGAGACATCATCTTGTGGAAATAACAATAAAATGATGTCCATGGAGGATTGAACATACTTTTGTACTAGCCAGAAGGCATGCTAATGTTGCGCTCCGCCGCCCAACGAGTCACCCAACCGCTCCGTCCTCCTGACCAATGGCGAGTCTGTCTCCATGGCAACGAGTTAGCTCAGCGGCGTCATTAAGTTCTTGGCAGCAGAGAGAATGAGGGATGCGGGGAAGAGGAGGGAAAACGGCAGGCAAAAAAAAAAAAAAAAAAGTTCCCGGGGGGTGGGGGGGCGGGGGGGGGGCCAGAAGGCATGCTAATGTTGCGCTCCGCCGCCCAACGAGTCACCCAACCGCTCCGTCCTCCTGACCAATGGCGAGTCTGTCTCCATGGCAACGAGTTAGCTCAGCGGCGTCATTAAGTTCTTGGCAGCAGAGAGAATGAGGGATGCGGGGAAGAGGAGGGAAAACGGCAGGCAAAAAAAAAAAAAAAACGTTCCCGTGTGCTGTGAGTGGCTGGAGGAGGCAAGTAAGGATGGAGGGAGATGGAGTCCTGCGTGGAGGCCAGATTGTGGCGCCGCTTGACTGAGGCATCACGTGACAATGCGGGACGTGGGAGGCGTGATCCATTTGGGGGACGTGCGTCACCGAATTGGGCCTTTCCGTTTGAAATAGCACACCTCCATTCGAGGAGCACGGCGATGGCCTCGTTCATCTCAGATGAATTGCTCCAAAGTAATCCGAACTTGAATGGAAACAGTTTGCTTGATTAAAAAAGATGCTGCCGCTTGCACATCCCAAACCTTTTTAACTTTATTAGATTGTTTTTCGTTTCAACTGTTACCAGACAAACCTATGAATGATTCAAATAAGAGGTGCAGCGATTGACCGTTCAACAACTAATCGATGATCAAATTAATCAATGCTTAATTTTGTTGAAAATAGTCTAAATCTGAGCCTCTCAACAGTAAACATTCTCAGATTTCTGTCGTCCTCATCTTATATGTATCTTCAATTACTGAATTGAATTTAAATTTTTAATACATTCTTTCTAAGTGACATTTTATTATATCGATTTTAGTAATCCGTTTCTGAAATACTTTATGTATCTCAATGTTTTTGCACTTTTGTATTGTCCTTTTAGTGTATTATTTATTATTTCATTTAAAAAGTTTTTATGGGGCATCATTTTTTTTCAAAGGCTTTTATTTTGTTTTATGGGGGGGTTTTCTGTTTTTGGGGGGGGGTTATGATTTTGGGGAATATTTTGTTTGTTTTTTAAAATATATTTTTCCTGTTTTCAGAATAAATTTAGTTTCTGTTTTTCTGATTTCTTGTTTTTTTTTTTTTTATGGTGGGCGGTGATGACAGAACTAAAAATCATTCACAAAAAAAAAACCCCAACAAAAAAAATTAATAAAACAGAAACAAAATGTTTTTTTTTTCCAAGGTGGATGCAATATGCTTCCGTAGTTTTCCACTCGACCTAAAAAACAAAATTATTTATGTGTTACACTTGGTGAACACTTTTTGAACACAAGCAAGACAAATGGTGACACGCTTGTATTTAAGTACCAAATGACTTCCTGTGTTGATTTATTGAAGAGCTCCTTCCAGGAAGGCTCGACTTCCACCTCACTCGTCATTCAGAGATGAGTACGGGACACAAGTAGGTCACAAACACTTCTGCCGTGGGAGTTTATTATTATTTTTTTTTAACCTCACGACAAGCTTGCAGTGTGTGCGTGTCTTTGTGTGTGTAACACAGGTTCCGGGAAACCTTCATGTTTGTGTGTGTCCGCAGGGAGGGGAGCACTGCTACTACCAGGGAAGGTTACGAGGTGTGCCGGAATCCTGGGCAGCCCTCTCCACCTGCCACGGCCTGTGGTATGCTCCCCCTCCCCCACCATTTCCACTTTGACCTTTTATACACTTTATAACATATTTATGTTGTGTGTGTGTGTGTGTGTGTGTGTGTGTGTGTGTGTGTGTGTGCGTGCGCGCGCGCGCCCCCCCCCCTTTTTTTTCTCCAATTCAAAGTGGGATGTTTTCCGATGGCCTCTTCTCATATGGGATTGAGCCTGTTCACACTGACAACAATGAGGTAAATAGTATGCAAAAGTCAGGCTCACAACGTGGGCCAAAAGTAGGAAGTGGAGTCTTGAGATACGAGCAACCTTTTCTCAATACCTTCATTCCCGCTGACCCCATTTTAATTTACATACTTCCTTTGCTTCAAATGATTTTCCATCTTCCTTTCTTCAAAACAGTCCAATCCTATGATATTTTTTTGTTTTCGACAAAATTATTTGCTAATTCCCCGCCCTTTCCCTGAAGACAGCTGCACTACAGCGCACCCGTGATCCTTGTGAGGATAAGCGTTTCCGATAATGCACAGATGGATGTATTATTCATGATGCCTTAAATAAATAAATGAAAAGAGGCCAGCCCTTTTATATGCATTTGTTTGGGGGAGGGGGGGCACCTAATGCAATCTCATTGTATTCTGTTGTAGGAAAATGGTGCCCACCTGATCCAGAGGATGTCCGATTTCAGGCTCTCCCCACAATGCACAGGTAGGCAAGATCATTTATAGTTCGCTTGATTTGACAACGTCCAAAATAGTTCTTTGTGTTGTCTTTTACTGTATCATTGCCTTTTTTTTTCCCTTCCTTGTCACTTGGCACCATGACTGCATATGTAAAACCTCCTTGCGAATAATGCAGAGAAGGTGATAATTACTTTCCTAATGACTTTGATAATGAACTGCAATGTGTGCGTGTGCGCGCGCCAAGATTGCACAGAGGACAACGAGTGGGATGGCAGAGGAGGTGGTGAAGACCAAAGGGGGGCACCGAAGCAACAGCAGGAGGCGTCGGGGGTGGTGTTAAGGCGATCCAAGAGGTTTGCACGCAGACCTTCCGTGCAGACCGAGACCAAATATATCGAGTTGATGGTGGTCAACGACAACGACTTGGTGAGCGTTCTTAGTTTGCGGATGTGTTTGTTTGCTGAGTATTCTGACAGGGAGGGTTGATTTTAAACACAAAATCACATACCGTTCTATCTATATGTGTCCTGGGTGCAACCAACATCTTGCCCGAAGTGCACATGCCGCCGTTAATACAATTGCTGTAGATAATGCACAAATGGAGTATCAATTACAAATCCATGTCATTCATTCCAAACAGGGGTGTGGTCATCAAAATGTTTTTTTTTTTTTTCCTGGAGCTATCTCTTTTATACATACACTTGTGCACTCATGTTTGTGTATGTGTGCATGATATTCCATCCATCTGTGCATAATTTGTCTCATCACAGTTTGTACAGCTGCGACGCTCCGGCAGCCACACGAAAAACTTGGCCAAAGCGGTGGTCAACATGGCGGATGCGGTACGTTGCCTTGCAGACACACACACACGCACAAAAACATGCTAGGGGCCTGACTGACTAAAATTCCATATAGTGGGTGCAAAATTGTGTTCACTCATGCGAACAGAGTTTGTGCAGTTTGCAACAGTACACTTGAAAAGCTGATCCAAAATGACCCACATGCACTTAAATGCAGAGTTGAAAGGAGTGAGGTCGTTCCAATTCAGCCCTTTAGATCACTCATAGACTCCCAAATGACATTGCTGAATAGACGTTACACCCTGATCGTTTTTGCTTCTGGCGTTTCAAAAATGCTTATACGAGTGAAAGACGACATCAGACACTGCGTTTGTACCTGACTCTGACATGATATTTCAAAGCATAAAAATCATCCATCGAAATGTATCTGAGATTTGATCAATCACATGACATGTGCTAAATTAATCTATTTGTATCTATGTTTCCAACAACCCACAAAATAAACTGCGTGGCAGTTTTGCTCGTTTTTCAGACACAGTTTCAAGTCAAGTTTAGGGAATAAGGCCTTTGCCGTTCATAATCAAAGGGTTTTTTTTTGGGGGGGTGGGGGACACTGCAGCTCTACAAGGAGCAGCTTAACACAAGGATTGTGCTGGTCGCCATGGAGACGTGGACCCCAAAGAACATGGTGCCGGTAGTGGAGGACCCTATGACCACGCTGCAGAACTTTATGAAGTACAGGCGGGACAATATCCGCGAGCAGAGCGACGTTGTCCAACTTTTCTCGTGAGTAGATTGTCTTTGAATGTGGCGCAGGTGCCGCCGCCACCACACTCTTACAGTGTTTCTCCTGTTCGATTCCAGAGGACGCACATTTCAGAGTGGCCGCAGCGGGATGGCATACACGGGAGGAGTGTGCTCGCCGACGAGGGGAGGGGGCATCAATGAGGTGAGGGAACTTTGTTTATATATACAATATATCTCTAATACTTCTTACATTGTGATTTTTGTCCACACTTATCAGTCGATAAAAGGAAAAGATGCTTTTACTTTGCATCATACTGCATCATGCGGTGTTTTTAAGAATTCAGTGGATACAAGGATCCAAAGCTCACTAATAACCGTGTTGCTGAGCATTATTATCTTCATAATGGATTTTATTACACAGATGTTTGATTGGATATCCTGCTGTTGTACCGAATCAAGAAGCCAGTGTGTGTGCACAGCCTGCGGAAGGCCATTAATACTTATGTATTGAATTAAAAAAAAAAAAAAGTGATAAGTCTATTTTAATTTTTTTCATTGCTCCAGTTTGGGACTGTCGGCACCATGGCCATCACTTTGTGCCAGAGCCTGGGCCAGAACATTGGGATGAGGTGGAACAATGCACGTAACTCTGCAGGTATGATGTGATGCACCACGGGATGCTGAGACAGTAAAATACACGAGTCTTTTTTTTTTTTCTTGAACGTCCCTGCACAAGCATTTTCCTAATTTCACTCTCGGTGCTTTATCACCTACATTTGGAACATTGCTACCACTGAACATTGCATTTGTTGATTAATGCTGAAAGTCCGTTGGTGTCGTTAATCAATGACGCCAATGGAGCTGAGTGAGTTGGAACACCTCGTCCTGCTGCAACACTTCTTCGGAATGCGGAGTTCTCTGTGTTTTCATCCTAAAATCCTGAACTCGTCTTGCTTTTTTGTTCCACAGGAGACTGCAGGTGCCCTGACACCTGGCTGGGTTGTATTATGGAGGACACTGGGTAGGATTTCAAGAGTGAAATGGTTTTTGCCACATTTTTTTTTTGCTTCCGTTCATTGAAGAATGTGCTGCTGCTTGTGGTGTGGGTGCCTTGCCACTTGGGGGCATTATAATACAGCCATATAGACACCAACACACACATTCTCAGTATGCTGCAGTAATGTTCATCATTCTATGCAGAGGATAAAGAATTTGTACCTGTTAGTGTTGTATTATCTGTTATAACACTGCGGCACTGAAGCTATTCATTAGCTTGTCTTTGGTGTTTGCACAAGTCGCCCATTTTGTTTTGAGCCAGTCGTTTGGGGTATATTCTGATCCTTTTTTGCCTTTTTCGTAAATTACTTTCTTCATACTTGTGGTTGGCTAGAATGCCCTTGTTGGTTTACAGTGCCACTTGTTGCCACCTTTTTAATGCATGAACAAAAGAAACAAAGTGTACAAGCAGGTTGTACAGGGCAGAAAATTTCACTTGGTGAATCAAAACAGGAATTTGGTATATTTGCACCAGATGGCACGATACACAGTTTGATGAATTTCAGTAACATTTTTACTCCAGATGGTTCCATTTCTGTCACATTGTAACATAACGCCATTAACGCCCACAAGAGTGGCACCATGTTGTCTTTGCGCCGGTTCCTTTGAACAATGCTCTTGATGTTTGTGCTTTTTTGTATGTGTTTTTAACGTAGATACTATCTGCCGCGGAAGTTCTCTCGCTGCAGTGTGGATGAATACATCCAGTTCTTGCTCCAGGGAGGCGGCAGCTGCCTCTTCAATAAGCCCAACAAGGTGAGAGGGCCGACCTACCTATCTAGCTAGCTAGCTATAGCTGTGAGGGCCGATCTAGCTAGCTATCGAGCTAGCTATCTAGCTAGCTAGGTCGGCCCTCACAGCTAGCTAGCTAGATAGATACAGCTATGTGCCGGATGGGCTTTGGTTGTCTATTGCTTCAAAAGTATCTTGGTTTTCACATTTCTAAGCTGCTGGACCCTCCAGAATGCGGCAACGGCTTTGTAGAACCTGGTGAAGAGTGTGATTGTGGATCGCAGGTGGTGAGTATAAATCTACGAATGCGACACTCTTCCAAGACAGTCATGCTACATTGTGTGTGTATGTGGCTGCAGGAGTGTGCCCGCAGTGGAGGAGCCTGCTGTAAAAAATGCACACTCACGCACGACGCCATGTGCAGCAATGGACTGTGCTGCAGTGGCTGTAAGGTGTGTACGACGGGGATTTATTGGAAGCGTCAACGAACAATCGTTCCGCTGTTTTGCCGTTTCAGTACGAGCTGAGAGGCGTGGTGTGTCGAGAGGCTGTCAACGACTGTGACATCCCAGAGACTTGTACTGGAGACTCCAGCCAGGTAGTTGCTCATGTGTGTTCCAGAGAATGTTACGTTATACAATATTTAAGTAAAGATTTGTTAGGACGTCTGAGAATCTGGAATGAGGTCGTGGCAATTTTTCTTGATCATCATATACGTGTTGCCCACTTTAAAAATGTTTTTTTTTTGGGAGGGGGGGGTTTGCATCTACTGCTCCAATACTTTTAGAGTGTGTGTGGCTTGTGAGTAACACTGCTTGTGCTTCCCTCCTGCAGTGTCCTCACAATGTCCACAAGTTGGATGGCTACTCATGTGAATCTAATCAAGTAAGTGCTGCCTATGTACAAGTCCACTTCAACCGCACTTGTTTTTCGAGATACCGTGCGCTTCATTTTGTATCTTCAGGGTCGCTGTTATGCCGGACGGTGTCGCACTCGAGACGGACAGTGTAGGGGGCTCTGGGGGTTCAGTAAGTACCTACCGGTGTGTGTGTGTGTGTGTGTGTGTGTGTGTGTGTGTGTGTGTGTGTGTGTGTGCGCGCGCGCCTGTGTGTCGTGTATGATTACCGGTAATTTGCTCTTATTTTGCTTTTTATCTATCAAGACTCAGCAGACAGGTTTTGTTATGAGAAGCTCAACGCTGAGGGGACCGACAAAGGGAACTGTGGTCGGGGTCCCGGCGGCCAAGGCTGGCTTCAGTGCAACAAGCCGTGAGTGATGCCCATTTTAATGAAAGAAGAAAACCGACACATTCATCATTTTGGGGTACAAAATGGAGGTGTATCAAAAACTTTTGTAAACTATAGATACTATCAAAATACAAGTCTATCCATGTGTCTCCCTGTCTTATACTGCTATCTGGTGGCCAAGGTGGGCACACGAGAAGACAGCATTCTCTTTAATTCTATTTAATTATCTCATAACTCTGATTTTATGAAGAATAATGTTTGTTTTTTTTCTCTTGAAAATATGAATGCTGGATTGCAAATTTGCGATTCCTGATTTCCCCCCCCCCCCCTCTCCACTTTAATTACATGTACAGTATCTTTTTGTCATTTTTAGGGATGTTTTGTGCGGCTTTCTGTTCTGTGCCAACATCAGCACAAAACCAACATTTGGGGACCTTCAAGGCGAAGTGACCAGCTTCACCCTCTACCACCAGAACAAGTACCTGGACTGTCGGTGAGTTTCGCTCGAGTGAGTTCTGATCCAGCAAGTGAGCAAGAATACAGTAAACAAGCGTCGTGTTCTTATTTCAGGGGCGGCCACGCTCTGCTGGAGGATGGCTCCGACCTGGGCTACGTGGAGGACGGCACTCCCTGCGGGCCCAACATGATGTGCTTGGAGCGACGCTGCCTCCCGGTGGCGGCCTTCAACCTCAGCAGCTGCGCGGGGTCCAACATGGGACGCATCTGTTCTGACCACGGGGTACAACAACATCCAGCACGCAGAAATAGTTGATACAGATGATGATCTACCGTCTCCTGCATTTGCAGACGTGCAGCAACGAGGTGAAGTGCATCTGCGACAGAGACTACACCGGCAAGGACTGCAGCGTCTTTGATCCCATTCCCGAGCCCACTGTCCTGACGGGCCCGGAAAAGAAAGGTGAACAGCATCTCCCTATGGTTTCCTCCTGTACTCTGTCATCCTTTTCATTTCACCAACCCTCTCATTTGCATTTTCAGTGTTTTGTAAACGGTCGTCGCCATTGTAGTTACCGTTGACTATGCTGACTTGAATTTAAGGGAAGTCAAGTCCTAAATTTTGCTGACATTATGTTCGATCTGTCGCCACAAGTTGAAACACGCTATTCTGATTCATACTGCATGTGTGGAATATGAATAAATTGAGATATGTGTCAGCCATGTTTCTAGGAGGCGATGACAATTCTTCCGACACACAAACACCACCACTGAAGGTGTGCTCGACTTTAAAGTGTCTATAACAACTCCTTTCGTCCCATGATGAGTCCCCTCGCCACATTCCACCTTTTACTTCTGTCTCTCTCTTTCTCTGTCTCTCTCTCTAGTTGATGTGTTGACGCAGTGTTTTTTTTTTTAATTGTATTTAGTGGTGTTGTTTCCTCCTCCTTCACTCCGCCTCCTCCCTCTGCGCAGGTCCCAGTGGCACCAATATCATAATAGGCTCCATCGCAGGTGCTATTCTCCTGGCAGCTATAGTCCTAGGGGGGACAGGATGGGGATTTAAGTAAGAGTTCTGGCATGCATTTGTCCTTGCTGTCTGCTTCCACGCTGCTCAACAAGTTTGCCAGTGGCCTGCTCTGGGGAGGGGTATAGGCATCGTCCTGCACCTAAACACACACCTCTTAAGGTTTAGGATCATTCCAGTCTGCCAGGGACCACCGCAGCTCTCCTCACCTGTGCATGCCTCTCGCTTCTTGTCTTCGTTGATACTCTGACCTAAAAAGACCGCTTGCCTTGAACAAAAAGAAAATCTGAAACACGCTTGAAGGAATCCTTTTAGGGCCAGAGGCAAGTGTGTGTCGTCTGTGCACAAATGCATGAGGTGTCCAGCAGGGTGGGAGTTTTTCGAGTGTACTTGCAGCCCTGCATGTCTTGTCAGAACTGATCAAAGCAGTGGAACCTCTAAAGTCAAACACAAGCTGCTCAACTTCTGATGTGCTCCCATTAGGTAACTATTTTTGTCATGAAAATAATGGAAATAATCAGTTTTGGGGTAATTATTATTATCCACACCATCTAATATCCGTATTCATTGGTAGTCATTATTCAAACATGATCATCAATGTTATCATTCTTATACAGAGATACTATGCATATCAATAGGTTTTTTTTACACAGCATCAGTGTTTCGTTATATAAAATATGAGATTTCATCTTGCCCTAATTGTATACGATGGCAGTATTTATACCTGTAATTGTTTGCTGTTTACCAGAGACCAACAAGCAACACCATAGCGTCTTCTGTTTCTTTTCTTCGTGTCTAGATTATAGCTAGCTAGCTCGATAGATAGACTAGCTAGCCGGCTATCTATCTCGCTGGCTATCCATCAACTTTATCTATTTTGGCCATCTACAGTACTGTATCAAGCTATTTTGTACACCTCGAAGACCGTATCCTTAAGTATCCAAAAGAAACAACAACAAAAAAAGCCAAATGTGCTTCATTTGTTTGTGCTTGTTCAACTAAAATTTTGTGTGACTTTAGAGGTGCATTCATCTTTTTAATTTTAGAGATTCAGCTGTAATAATCTAATGGCAGATAATGAGAATAATAGAATTGTTGCCTGTTTCTCCACCATGGAGGTGATCTGTCACTTTGTATTCTGCCTGCAGGAATGCACACATTTCCACGAGTCACTGTCATTTATGCATTTTCTCTTTTCTCCTTGTCAAACGCTTTGTGGATGCAGAAACATTCGTAGAGGAAGGTATGACTTGTCTCTTACATTTTGTCCCCTTTACCAAGAATAATAATGTTTCCATGTGTCTTTCAGGTCTGGTGGAGGATAAGATGTTCATCATTAGTCTCTGTGTCCTGCCCACTTCCTGTCTTCTTCTTTTCTCCTTGGTCGCACGGTGTCCTCGTCCACGTTGGAGGCACAAAAAAGGAACAACAACAACAAAATGTCTTCCACTCCTGTTCCTGTCTCTCCAGTCCTCCTTTCATTGTCACCCTTCGTCCTCTTTCCTTCTTTACTGTGCGATCACACCGGGGTCGGGGTCTTCCTCAAACATCAGGATTACGGAAAGCAAATCAGCCAAGATGTCTGCACTGCCTGCCTGGACCACAGACTTCTTTTAATGCCATTTTTAATAGCTCGATGTGTAAAATAAGCTAAAAATGCTGAAGAGGTTCATTCCCTGCCACAGCCTCAAGAGCTCACGCACATTTCCTCCACCTTAAGAGCCTAGACTGGATCTGGGCTTGGTTGGTTTCACATTGGGACTGGATTTAATTTGAAGTGGATTTCGACTGGTATTGCATCTGGATGAGTTGAGCCATAGATGAATAGATTTTAAATTGGATTTATTTGGACTAAATTGGGATTAAGTCTGAACTAAACCTGTGTCGATCTGGACTGGGATCAGTACTAGTACTAGAACTTGGATTAGACTGGCACCATGCTGGACCAGTTTGGACTGGAACAGGTTTGGATTTGGACTGGTGCTCACCTGTACCAAATCCGGACTAGATTTGGACTACTTCTGAACTCGGCGTGTTTTGCATAACTCCTCCTCTACAAAGAAATGGGACACCCCTGTCCAAAACAAAAATAAAAGAGCCAACGTTTTTGACATGGAGTAAAGACATTGTGGTCACTGACTGCTCACGCCAACAACAGAAGGGAGAGGGGTCATGTCACTTTGCCTCCGGTAGATTTGGACTACTTCTGAACTAGGCATGTTTTGCATAACCCCTCTTCAACAAAGAAATGGGACACCCCTGTCCAAAACAAAAATAAAAGAGCCAACGTTTTTGACATGGAGTAAAGACATTGTGGTCACTGACTGCTCACGCCAACAACAGAAGGGAGAGGGGTCATGTCACTTTGCCTCCACTGGAAAAACAAAACAAAAAAACACTGATGAAAATTTTAAGTGTTTTTGAAACCTTGACTTAAAAAAAAACAAACAAAACAAAAAACCGATGTACATTGAAATCAACAATCATCCCCCAACGTTTTTGACATGGAGAAAAGACATTGTGGTCACTGACTGCTCATGCTAACAACAGAAGGGAGAGGGGTCATGTCACTTTGCCTCCACTGGAAAAACAAAACAAAAAAACACTGATGAAAATTTTAAGTGTTTTTGAAACCTTGACTTAAAAAAAAACAAACAAAACAAAAAACCGATGTACATTGAAATCAACAATCATCCCATGCCTAGTCTGAACCGGATCTGGATTAGATCCAGATTTACCCTGGAGCCTAGCTGGATCAGAATCTGATCAGGACAAGATCTGGAGCATATCTGGAACAACACTGATGGAAATTTTAAGTGTTTTTGAAACCTTGACTTAAAACAAACAAACAAAACAAAAAAACCGATGTACATTGAAATCAACAATCATCCCATGCCTAGTCTGAACCGTATCTGGATTAGATCCAGATGTATCCTCGAACCTAGCTGGATCTGAGTCTGATCAGGACAAGATCTGGAGCATATCTGGAACATAGGTGCAGCCTTACCATCACAGTGAAAAATCCAAGCATGTTTTCCAAAGAAGACCTTGAGGAGGGACAAACCGTTTATATCCCAACTGCCAACCGACGGGTCCAAGTGGACTCGTTTCAGTAATACTGAAGGATTGTGGAAGCTTTTTTTTAAAAATTTGGAATCACTTGACAGGACCAGCGCTTATCTCGTTGCTAATGCCGGACTGTGCATTTCACTGACTCTTGACTGTGCTCACCACCTTTTTACTCTTTGGACATTTCAACCAAATGCTTACTGTATTTTTATTGGGTCCGAGTGGACTCGTTTCAGTAATAACTGAAGGATTGTGGAAACTTTTTTTAAAAAATTTGGAATCACTTGACAGGACCAGCGCTTCTCTCGTTGTTAATGCCGGACTGTGCATTTCACTGACTCTTGACTGTGCTCACCACCTTTTTACTCTTTGGACATTTCAACCAAATGCTTACTGTATTTTTATTTTTAAAGAACAGAAGAAGAATGTGTCCACGTCACTCCGAAGCCCTTCAACGTTTCATAGAAATAACACGAAGCAGAATGTCACCTTACAGGACATTGGGATTTTTCTTTATTTGCACTCATGGATGAGGTATCGGGTGCATTTTGCTTCGTTAGTATTTAGCTCCCATTGTCATGTTAACAAATTAATTACGTCTGACGTTGGGGGGGCTCTTCTTCCTGATAGGAACTTGTCATTGTGACAAATTAGTAGGATTCCAAACAAAAAGTATTTCACTTCATTTAGTTTGGGGTTACTGAAATATCTTCTTTTTTTTTCAAGTTTAGTGTTAGTCTTGGTTTTTAAATCAAATGTTTACTTTGAAATCCAAGAATGCAAATTTTTTTGACATATAAGCTGTCATTTGGCTATTTTTTTGGAGAGTTTAGTGAACAAATTTTAAAAAAAAAGAGAGAGAGACTACGCTGTTAAAAGCACTCCCGATTGACGCTGTCAAACTAAACATGAAACGAATAATTAGACTTTGTTTAAAATAACCATACAATTGCCTAAAAAGGCACTGCTAGCTTAACGCCAATGCTAGTTAGCATATATGTTGTGGTGGACCACAAAAGGTTGAGCAAAAACATGTAGGCAGACAGCACAACTGTACAGTGTAGTCATATACGCTATCTTCTGCGTAAAACTACTAGTATTAGTGCCGTACTGAAGAGTTCAGAGAGGAGTTGAGATGCCATTATGAATCCTACCCAGAGGTCTTGGCAGGACACCCCACTGTCATATGATTGACTCCAACAAAGAGGCAAGGACTGCCTAGACATAATGGGATTCATAATTGCGTCTCAATTAACAGTATATGTATCAAAACTTGATATATCTCAAGGTTTGATACGGAAATTCAGTACCTACTCCTTATTTTGACAAGAATAGCCAAAGAAAAAGATGCCGGCTGAACAGGGTTGCCAAGCGTTCGCGTGGTGTCATGCGTACAACTGTTTTTTTTTTTATTTTTTTATTTTACTTGCCAGTTATGAGCTGACAATAGTATTTGACCTTTTTGTGTGATTTCCTACTAAATTTTCACCATAACGCTGCCATTTTGTGTCCCTGAATGCATCACTTCCTGCAGTGACAACGTCACAAAAATAATGAGCTGTTTATGTAAATATGTGCAAGCTATGATGAATGTTAAGATGCACTGTATGGTTGAGGGGAATGATTCCAATGGTGTTTTTTTTTTGGTTTGTTTTTTTACATCGTAGAGCCGGCTGTTATGGCCGCCCGTGTGCCGCCATGACAGTGAGTGTGCATGAATTTGCACTTTTTTTGGGTGGATTTTGAGCTTTGCACTGTGTGAGAGGCACATAGGAATTAAGAGAGCGTGTGTAATGTATTGTGCAGAGCCGCTATCAATCATCATTTGAAAAGAGGAAAAAAAAGACCATATTTTTAGACACTTTTTGAATTTAGACAAAATAAAAAAATTTAAAAAAAAGGGGGAAAAGCCCTGCGGGTAGAGAATCCTTAACAGGAAAAGAAATAAAAAGAAATTCAATTCTCTCCTCATGTTTTGTCTCGCTGCTTACAAACAGCTTACATTTTCCCTTACTCTGACATATTTTTCTAACATCATTTACCGGTAGATTATACTCATTAAAAACTAAATGTATAAAATAGTATGAAACAAATATTTTGCTCAATATCAATTTTTGAATTCATTTACTATTTTTTTAAGCTAATGTAGTACTCTAAAATATGTAAAAATGAATACTTTTTTCATGAAAAGTTTATATACTAATATAAAATAATTACCATTTTGAAAAATACGCTACACCTTTTAAAAAAATACAACAAAAAAAGATTGCATATTGTATTTAAAATAAAACGCTTGAAAAAATATGTTCTCACCATTTTTCAATGTAAAAATATTTATATAAAACAAAAGACAGAAAAAGACAATGGAGAAAAATATAACGTCCCTTATCAGACTCAAAATAAGCAATAAATTACACGGAATGAACACGAACAATGCAGATGTACGATCAAATAGAAAATCATCAAATTTTACGATTGTGACAATTATTGGTATTAAAAAAAAAATGGACATCAAGAGATACTTTTCTTCCAATTAAACAGACTAAGTAGAACAAAAAAAAATTATTACAATCAAGGCTGATGACAGCCAAAGAGCGTACATGTCAATCTTTCATCTCGATCAACATGATGAGTTTGGGACATCAAGAGATACTTTTCTTCCAATTAAACTAAGTAGAACAAAAAAAAATTATGACAATCAAGGCTGATGACAGCCAAAGAGCGTGCATGTCAATCTTTCATCTCGATCAACATGATGAGTTCCTCCTTTTCTTTTTCAGGTTCAAAGTTCACTCCGGCACCTCGCCTGTGTCCCACTTGGTCTTGGGCTCCTGCCACCACTCGGACACGAGGGTTTCCTCGTAGTCGCCGACGCCCTCGAACTCAACGTCGGGCCGTACGGAGCGCTGGGAGGCGGCCTCTGCCTCCGGATTCACCTCACCCTTCGAAAAGTCGGGAGAAGACGGTAAGCAGAAGTGTTTCTATTCTTCTGGTGCTTTCCTCTCTGTCAACGTGTCAGCCTGGAATTGTGGGCCGCCTCTGTGCGGTGATCTGAAGAGTTATGCTCGTCTTGGCGTTCAACACCTCCTGACCACATACCACACGCTGCCGCCACAAGGGAACTCGCCACTTTTTGTATATTATCCGTCACGCCACAAGCGCATCTTAAATCAGTGTGAAAGTTGACAATCTTTCTTTTTACTATATTTATTTCAGCCATTTTTGTCCATGTGCTGTATTGTATATGTACCTCGTCCTCGGTTTGCAGGTAGTTGAGAGCAAACTGCAGCATCTCGTCTTGCTTGGTTGTCTGGTTGAAGTATCTAGAAGCCTCCTGCAGAGGGAAACCAATTGATCAAATAATTCTGTCCCAAAAATTTGGTTTAGAACATTGAGATTGGAATTCTTCATTATTCAGCCAAAGCAGTAATATAAATACTCCAAATTACTACATGTATGTTTCAAAATATATCATAAAGTTGTCAGAAAACAATGATCATCATATTTGACGGACGAATAAGGACAACTGAATGGTAAACTCACAAACATTGATTAAAAAAATAAAAATACACTTCATTGTCTGCTTTTCTAATTAAGGCCGAAATATAAAATTGGTAGTAATAGAGGCCTCCTGCAGGGGGAGACAAAAAGCAAATGTCAACCAAACGTGCTTTTTTTATTTTTCCTACGGCAAGCGACAAATGTGACGTTTTCTTTACAGCTGGCTTGACCCTTAAAATAAAATGCCCCGTGCAAGCTTTTATATGATGTTGCAGCTGGCTAAAGGAGCGCCGATCACTAATTATCGCACTGACGCGCCGTTAACACGGACGCCCGAGCTTTTAAGTTGACTTACGGCCCTCGGCTGGAAGTCGGTGTCGGCTAGGCCCCACTGTTCCCGGTAGAAGCGGTAGTACTCCACGTTCTGACGCATCACCTGGTCGCTGGGGTCGAACAGCATGTAGCTGGCGGCACACGGGGCGGCGCTCTTTACGTCGTTTACTGGAGGGGAGCCAGAGAATCATCTAGTACATTTGCAGCCATGCATGACACACTCCAGAGAGAGAAAGAACGAGTCTTACGTTTATAATATGAAAACTGGAGGTAGTGGTACATGGTGGCCACAAACTTGTCCACCATGAAGCCCCCCACGCTGGGCGTCAACTGCTGCTCGCAGCCCACCTTACATCTTAGCGCCTCCAGGTACAGATCTGAACACAAACAACAGCCGATGAACAAATAGGATTGCCCTATCGTTTGCATTAAAGAACTACTGCGCATGTTTGATTCTTAATGCAGGGCCTGATCTGGCCCCCGGGCCGCCAGTTGAAGACCCCCGTCTTAATGAGTCAACGGCAAATATTTCGGCGACTGAAAATGCATCATGAAGCCAGATGACAGAGCTGAATGGAACAACTCGAATCATCATGACTTATTTTTTTAGTGGACCCCCTGCGAATAGAATCGGGCCCCACCCGTAAATCGCAAAAATCTGCAAATAATTGACACCCATTAAAATGCATTAAAATTTTTCAACTTGAATTTTTTTTCCACTTTTTGAAAAAAATGCTTTTTTAAAATTATTTTGCACTCAAAAAATTATTCAAAACATGCTGATAAACTGAGCAAATAAAAACAATATATTTTTGATATTGATTTTTTTTTTTAATCTCTGAATAGGTAATCATTTATCCCGCTTATTGAAAAAATAGAATACATACAACCTATTATTATATCTATTGATTTGTTTTGAATTAATATTCGCATTTACTTTTGTCTCCAAGGAGAACAATGTGACGACTATCGTCAGTGGTGGGGTGGCACCCCAGAGCCCTCCACTTGACCAACCGCCACAGGTTGTTTCCAAATGGGACAAATTTACAAAACATTTTTGTTCTTATGACAGGAACTTTATTCGTATGTGGTGTGTCTGCACCCACCAGCCAGCGTTGGATAGAAGTCCTTGAAGAACTACTGCGCATGTTCGACCCTTAATGCAGGGCCTGATCTGGGCCCCCGGGCCGCCAGTTGAAGACCCCCGTCTTAATGAGTCAACGGCAAATATTTCGGCGACTGAAAATGCATCATGAAGCCAGATGACAGAGCTGAATGGAACAACTCGAATCATCATGACTTATTTTTTTAGTGGACCCCCTGCGAATAGAATCGGGCCCCACCTGTAAATCGCAAAAATCTGCAAATAATTGACACCCATTAAAATGCATTAAAATTTTTCAACTTGAATTTTTTTTCCACTTTTTGAAAAAAATGCTTTTTTAAAATTATTTTGCACTCAAAAAATTATTCAAAACATGCTGATAAACTGAGCAAATAAAAACAATATATTTTTGATATTGATTTTTTTTTTTAATCTCTGAATAGGTAATCATTTATCCCGCTTATTGAAAAAATAAAATACATACAACCTATTATTATATCTATTGATTTGTTTTGAATTAATATTTGCATTTTCTTTTGTCTTCAAGGAGAGCAATGTGATGACTATTGTCAGTGGTGGGGTGGCACCCTTGAGCCCTCCACTTGACCAGCCGCCACAGGTTGTTTCCAAATGGGTCAAATTTACAAAACATTTTTGTTCTTACGACAGGAACTTCAATCGTATGTGTATGTGGTGTGTCTGCACCCACCAGCCAGCGTTGGATAGAAGTCCTTGAACTCGAGGATCTCGTACGACCCATCGCAGGCGGCCACACACGTGTCGTACGCATCAAAGTAGGAGGTGAGCGCCTGCTCCATGTGGCGAGCGCTGCCGCTGAAGTCGCCGCTGTTGTATAGCGTCACGCTCTTCACGAACACACTCTAAACACAATGGCACTTTAAGGGCTCTATTTTCACACCCGGAGAAAAGCAGACTTAGGTCTCAATCATTGGAATTGTCATATATGGTCGAACCTCGTATGGCTGCTCCTCGTGGTCGATGAGATAGGGGTCCACGTCCATCAGTGTCTTGTAGTAGTTCATGTTCTTGGTAAGCTTGGGGTCTTTCGGGGTTTTCTTCAGGTAGGTGTGGGCCGCCGACACGGCCTTCGCCAAGTTGTTCAGCTGTGGGAGAGAGTCGAAGATAAACGGTGCCGCGTTTCTGCTCCGCAGTGCCGTAACACCGACGGCGTCTGTACAGCGCATTTCGTCAGGTACACCCGTACCATTGAATGGGACCGTTTTGATTGACAGTCAGAGATACGCATTTCACACTATATCTATGATTGTAGTTTGCACTGACTGCACACTTGGCATTTCCGAATATTTTGGTCTCTTTGATCTCAAGAAGGGAACCTGCTTCGGAGACGGTGGCTGAGGGCATAACTGCGATTGGCTGGCAACTACCTCAGGCTGTCCCACGCCTACTGCCCTTAAGACAACCGCGATAGGCTCCAGCACGGCCGTGACTCGTGAGGATAAAGCGATTCAGATAATCAACGCGTGGTTTGAAAATATTTTCTTAATTAATCTACGCCAGAAACATAAAATGCAAGCAAAACAATTACACGCTCTTCTACTATATGTCAATTAACCCGTTTATTTTTGTGGCATTTTTGTTTTAATTTTTTTTTCTTTTTTTTGCTTTAAGATTTTTAAGTGGAGGTATACCTAATGTTGTGGTGGGTGGGGTTTGCCACATCAGTCCACCAGAGGAGCAGGATCACAGAGGGGGATTGTTTGAAGGAGACGTGGCACAAGCTCAACTAATTGCCCGGCAGGAGGTCACCCCGAAAGCTGACTGGAACTTTCCTATCACAACTTTAGATCCGCAATATGGTCTCACCTGGAAGTATGCGAACTGCAGGTATCGATAAGGGGTCCTTTTCTCAAAGCTGTCCAGGAGGTCTCGACGCGGATACGCGAGTTTAAACACGGGCAAGTCGGCTTTGCACTTCTTCAGGCACGCCGCCCGAAAGAGGATGTGCCGCATGACGCGGAGGTGCCCGTCGTCTCCGTCGTCCCCCCGGCTCACGGCGCTGCAGTTGCGGCCACAGAACGCCTCGCTGTCCCGCAGCAGCCGATGGAGCCTCAGGCTGTGCTCCAGGTACTTGACGCTCTCGGCCCAGTTGCGCGCCGTGTACTGCTGCATCGCGTAGTCGAACGTGGAGTCCAGTGGCATCAGCTCGCCGGCGGGGAAGCTTCGGAAGCTGTATTTCTCGTACTGGGCCCGAGCCAAGAGCAGGACCGAGGCTAGAAAAGCAAACGCCGTGACCACGCCGTGAGAGAGCATGGTCACCAGCCGTCTCTTGCTCCCGGGACGGGGTTGCGGAAAAGTGTCTGGAAACTTGTCTTTTTGACGGGCTGCACGTAGGCAGCGAGAGACGCGTCGAGCGAGAGCATGGAATGCGACGATTTCCGGGTAACGCCTTCAAAATAAAATTGAACGTCTTCACAACTACTCAAAATCCAAGCCATAATTTGTTTCAACGGGCTATTTTTTATTTTCATGTATTATGTTGAACAGCTTGGGTGCTACGAGAGTTGAAAAGAACCATAAATAGCTGTTTCATGAGCTTGTATTTTGAAGGCAGTTATTTATTTTTGGTTTTACTCGTGCTGTTCGTAGTTTGACAAAATTGTTTCACATGACGGCAATACGTTTGCAACCCCATCAACAGGAATATGACAATATCGCTAAAAATTTGAATATCTTAAAACAGTTTATACGTAGAACATTCTAGTTTAAATTACACAAAATCTGACACGCTCAGACACGTGGAGGGCGAAATTCTTTTGCAAACTTTATTGAAATGCATAGTTTAAAACTTTTTTTTTTTTTTTTTGTAAAAAGGCTGTTACCTTTTTACACAACCAAAATGTTTCCCGGATAAATCTGTCAGTTTGACAAAGCATACCTGTGATACACATTTTTTTATTCCATGAATCAAAATATAAAATAGGTGTGCAATTTTACCATAAATGCAATTATTAAAGTTTCACAATAGGATCAGAGTGGATAATGTCAATTGAATGGCATCATTTCAGCCCGTGTGTGTTCTCTTTCTACATATATTCCAACCAATCTGACAAGTTGAGGCAAGTAGATCCAGAAATTGTTTTGCAAACTTATAAATGAAAGAAAATCGAGGCAACTGGACTCCTCTTGTTTGTTGAACTTGATGGCCCCCACCCCCTCCAAAAAACACCAAAAACGCTAGCAATTACGCAATGCCACTTATTTTGCTAAATTGCACGAATCGGAATTGAAAAAGCATGCCCGGAGCACACAATAAAATCCATGAACTAGAACCGAATAGTTAAAAACGTGTAATTTTCAACAAAAAAAAAAAAGTTATTGCATACAGTGCTAATGTTAACCAAAAGGACATACTATATCTGCATGTGCATGTTAACTTCCTGCCGCATTGCAACCAATATGACCAGATGATACACGTGGAGACAGAAATTATTGAAAACTTAATTAAACATTATCAATTAAAAAAACTGTCACTGCAGCATTAAATGTCTTTTGAACCATGTTTGACCCCAGCCATCAGTCACGAAAGGGACAATATTAACAGATGTGGAAAAAAATTGAGTTGTTGGTTTTGGTGCACACGTCACCACGTGACTTGTTTTCCCTTTTTTTTGGGGGGGGGCGGGGGGGGGGCTGTTATCAGGCTCATGAAGAGTTACACGTTTGCACAATTCCATTAAGGGCCACTCCCCTCTCCCCCTTCTGTCTTCTCTCGCAGCCACGACGACGAAAATAAGTAAAGTTAGATGGAAAATACACAGCAAGGGAAAAGGTCGTTAATTCTGCATCCTTCAAAATAAAAACTTGGCGAGCTCAGTCGATCAAAAACAACCTTGTAACTAAGATTAAATCTAGTCTACTTCAATTGATATATTGGGTGAATTGCAATCACATCAATTCATATAATCGGTGATTTGCGTTATTTGACAAACGGTACACCTCGACGCTGTAAAAGTTTCACTGCGTGTTATTTTGAAACTCGTCATCGGACCTAACTTTTTATTGTTACTCTGATTGTTTTCTCAAGATGTACTGCTGGTTCGGTTCTGCATCGTCAGACTGGGCTTCCTATTCAGTCCCTAAAGTCGGAATGTTTCCTCTGCTGATTTTCCTCCACGTCATCGTGGTGAAATGTCAGCCCGAGCTGTCTCCGCCGCTGGACGTCGTGGTGGACCGCTATCACATGCCAAAACGATGCCCCCGCGAGGTCCAAACGGAAGACTTTGTTCGGTACCACTTCAACGGAACTTTCCAGTCGAACGGAACGATGTTCGACTCCAGGTGAGCTTTTTTACGTCAGTTATGATTTGTTTGAGTTTAATCGCCACGGTTTGACCTGCGAATGCACGTCTGGGTGACTTTTTAATATAACTCGCGATGTCGCAAAAGTTAGCATGTAATTTATGTGGTTTTGCTGAACAACTAAATACAATTTTATTGTAAGTTACTTTTTATTTTGTTATACTAATTTAATCACTGAAGGGCGAAAATCCCAGGCATGTTTTTAAATTTACAAATTTTGTGTTCCCCAAAATCCCCTTCAGATGAGTATAGAATTTAATATTGTTCTGTCCAACCATTTGATTTGAATTTTCCTTAGTTAACTATTTTTAACCCCCTACCGTAAATACAACAAGAATTGGAAAATTTTGTGATTTGAACAAATGTATCTGAAACGCAATGAAAATTATTCTTTTCAGATAAATATAATTTTACATAGCCTCTGTTCAACACAAATTTATAATAATTTCATTTCAAGAATCAAACTTGAAATGCCCCAATTTTTTTGTTGTTTGATTATTTTTATCCCAAATAAATTCCTTAAGTTATGAATTACATCTACATTTTCATTTTGCGCTTATGTGCAGTCATGTCCGAGGAAAGGCGTTCATCAGTCAGGTGGGGGTGGGCCGCCTCATCCACGGAATGGACCGCGGCCTGCTGGGCACCTGTGTCAATGAGCGCCGTAGGATCACCGTCCCGCCGCACTTGGCCTACGGGAGCGTAGGAACAGGTAACGCTCGTACAGTGGTGGGAAGTAACCAAGTACAAATACTTGAGTGTTTATTTTTACTTTTACTCCCTACGTTTAAAATCTGTACTTTCTACTCTGCACTTTAGTGTGAGTGCTTTTTTTAATCTCTTTCAAATGGATACCCTGCAGGCGGCGTGATCCCGCCAGACGCCATCTTGGTGTACGACGTGCTGCTGCTGGACATTTGGAACCCCCAAGACAAAGTCCAAATCCGCACACTCAGCAAACCCGAGCGATGCGTACGCGCCGCCAACTCCTCCGACTTTGTGCGCTATCACTACAACGGCACCCTGCTATCCGGGCAAACCTTTATGTCCAGGTGAGTGGGTGTGTTTCTATTGTCTTTGTGTATTTTTAAACGATAACTTACGTGTGCCTGTGTTTTAGCCACACTAACAACACGACCTACGACACGTATTTGGGGCAAGGTGACCTGATCGAGGGCATGGAGGAAGGCCTCCTGGGAATGTGCATCGCAGAAAGACGCATCATCATCGTCCCGCCGTTCCTTGCTTATGGAGAGAAAGGACACGGTATGAAAAGGCGACCATTTTGTTACCTCCAGCGAAACTCCCTGTGTATGCATCTTAGAAACATGGCGTGTCCCCTAACAGGAAGTGCGGTCCCTCCCCAGGCCACGCTGGTGTTTGAGGTCTTGATGGTGGATGTATTCAACAACAAAGATGACATTGCGGTTGAGGTCCTGGAAGTCCCAGACAACTGTGAGCGGCGGAGTGCCGTGGGGGACTTCATCCGCTATCACTACAATGGCACCTTCCAGGATGGCACCAAATTCGACTCCAGGTGAACCCCCGTCTTCTGTAATCCAACCACGGATGTGTGGGGGGCTGAAAATGGCGAGTGACTATGCTTGTATATTAGGGGTTGCACAGACTAGTCGATTTGTCAACTTTATGACTCCACAATGACGTTTAGACCATGAAGTCAACTGCAATAGTACTCGACTGAAAAAAAACAAACATCGAAGATGTCATCAGCGACGAGTTGAAATCAACTCGACTTTCGTCACAAAGTGTCAACACTGGGTGAAACGATTAGTTGACTGGTCGTCTTTCAGTCCTGTCTGTTGAAAAGAAAAAAAAAAATCTTAAGTCATGTGTTTGCGTGTGTCAGCTACCAGAGGAACAGCACATACAACACATACGTGGGCCGAGGCTTCGTCATCACGGGCATAGACCAAGCCCTGCAGGGTCTTTGTATGGGCGAGAAGAGGAAGGTGGTGGTGCCGCCTCACCTGGCGTATGGAGGAGAAGGCGTCAGTAAGTTCGCAACAAGATGTGCATGAATTTGGATAATGTATCATGTTTTTTGGACATGAAGCGACGTTCAGCTTTTTAACATGAAGCGTTTTGGACTGTCCCCCGTTTGGCGTTTAAAATTTGCCTCCCTGTACAAAACGTCTCAGGTGATCTTATCCCCGGCTCGGCCGTACTGGTGTTCCACATCCATGTGCTGGACTTCCACAACCTCAAAGACGAGGTGGAGGTGAAAGTGGTGCGCCGGCCCGAAGAATGCGGGTCTGGCAGTCAGAAGAACGACTGGCTGCGTTACCGCTACAACTGCTCACTGATGGACGGCACGCTGCTGTACTCCTCGTGAGCGCCACCCGCTCTTCACTCCCTGCATGGGCTCGCTCTGCTACTCTTTACGTTTCCGTGGCAACAGCACGAATGCCCGCATGGCATCTAAGGTTTCCGCACACACCCAAAGTGGACTTTCTGACATTTTTGAAGTTATTTTTGAAGGAAGAATAGTTTAATTGTCTGTCTGTGTGTGCGTGCATCTAGTGACCAGCAAGACTTGCCGTCAGTCACCACACTGGGAGCCAATGACGTGATCCTGGGGCTGGAGCAGGGTTTGATGGGCATGTGCGAGGGTGAGGCCAGGGAGGTGGTGGTCCCGCCGCACTTTGGTCACGGGGAAAACGGAGGTAGGAAGAAAAATTGAGTGTGATTCTTACGGGGTTGAGGTGTGTACCTCATGATATGTCCCGTGTTTGGATGGCTTGTGCGCAGCTGGCGTGGTTCCGGGCAGCGCTGTGCTGTTTTTCCAGCTGGAGCTCGTGGAGCTGCAGAAAGGCGTCCCCAACGGCTTCATGTTTGTGTGGCTGGGGGACGTCCCCGAGCCCCTGTTCACCGCCATGGACCTGGACGCCGACGGCCAGGTTCCCCTGCGAGAGGTAAACCCGCGTCCCTTCGTTGTCACCCATTTAAGGGGCTGGGCAAACTTTCCCGTGCTTTGGTTTTGAAAACGGACACTTGTAGGTCAAATAGTTATTTTAATTCAATGGATGGATGGATAGTTAGTCATAATTCATGCAAATTGTAATTTTGTCATTTTTAAATAAATGCATTTATAACAACCAATTATTTCAAAACATGTTCAAAGTATTTATAGCAAGTAAAAAAAAAGTAGAATTGTTTAATATCAAAATAAATGAATTAAAATGATTTAACTAATTAAGAAAAATAAAATGTTTCATCAATTGCCATACATTGCTCAACCCTGTTGTAATCATATCTGTAAATCATAAAATTGTAACATGAACTCCTCCTCCTCTTCGCAGTTTTCGGACTTCATCATGCTGCAAGTGCAGCAGGGCAACGGCCGCCTGAGGCCCGGCGTGCCGCCAGACGACATCATCCGGGACATGTTCAACAGTCAGGATCTGGACAAGGACGGGAAGATCGTCGCCCAGGAAGTGACGCTACAAACGGACGAGAGGGACGAGTTGTAAAAGGACAGCCCCCCACCCCCCACCCCCGAGCTATCTGCACACTGTGATGTCCAACAAGCCACTATTTGGAATATTGAAAAGGATGCAACATTATGTACACCTCCGTCGTCTCACATCAGAGAACATGAAAACTCTGAACCTGCCAACTGCGAGGCGGAAGCGGAACATCCTCATCTTTCAGCGTTCTTGTATTGAATGTTGTACTTAATGAAGAGTCTAAAGAGAATATTTTTGTGAGATAGTTTTTTTTTTTTCTCCAAGTGTCCTTTTAAACATAGGTGACAAAATGACATCACATTCATGTAAGGACTGACTTACATGGAAAAGAATAGAAGAGGCATCTTTAAAAAGCGACATGTTCTGCACGTGGCACCATGCTCAAGCGCGTATGTATCCCGTGTCAACAAACGGAAAGTATAATGCAAACAGGAGGACTGAAGTGAAAACAACAGGGAGAGTCCATTGGGAGTGTCCGGTGTCTCCCGCAATCAAAAGCGGGTTACTTGTTTCCCGTGAGGTAGAGCAGCACGGCGTTGGCCACATCCAGGGTCTCGTCCTTCACCAGCACAATGTCGTAAGAATCCAAGTACGACTGCTTCCTCTCCTCCACCTGAACATCGTGCCCATCAAAAAAAAAAAAAAAGCACACGTTTATCTGCAAGCGTGTCAATGTTCGGTTGACTAAAAGCAACAAGATTTTGTGTGTGTGTGTGTGTGTGGCGTCACCTTGTCAATGAGGAAGCCAATCTTGAGGACGTTCTCCATGTCATGCACGCCGTCGGCCATGGTCAGGTCGCCCAGAGAGTCTCCCAGCAGGAGCACGTTGGGTCGGGCTCGCAGCTCCTGGAAGTGTCCCGTGTTGAGCAGGGCGCCCTCCCGTTTATTGTAGATGTGGATCAGCTCGCCCTTGAAGGCCCTCAACACCCCCTGGTGGGAGGGAGGAAGTCACATCAAGTTTAGCCTCGAGTCCGAACCTTGACATTTCAAGCAAGTGGAGTCGAGTCATCACTTGCGCAATGTGTATTCGAGTTGAGTGGGTTCCGACAATCACGGCCGGCTTTCATTTCAAGACAGATTTTCAATACTCACGGCCTGGTCAAAGTCCATGTAGTTGGAGAAGACCTTGACGTTGGGGTGGAAGACTCCTGCCTGGTGGATGACCTCCTCCAGGATGTCTCCGATGCCAGCCGAGAAGATGAGCAGAGGGATGCTGTGCTGGTGCAGGTGTGAAAAGAACAGCTGGTAGCCCTCCCTGTAACGGGGGCCCACATTCGCATCAGCTACACGAGCGCTCATCAATTAATTTAGCATTATTTTTTTATGCCACCTTGGTTTCTATGTATAAATGGCTTGCAATTTGAACACGATTTTGTTTTGTCTGGAAAAAGTCATGGACAATGATAACGACTTAATTTTGCCACATGCTGGTACCCACATACACATGCAACGGCGAAAATAAACAATATTAAAATTGAATAAAAATATGGGCAATCATATGATTTCTTGTACTAGAAATCTGTCCAAATTAATCAGAAGTGTAGGTGTGCGCGTGAGACCTGAGCTTGGCGTCAGACTCTCGCACCACCGTGGCCAGCAGGTCCTTCCTGATCTTCTGCTGCACCAGCAGCTCGTGCGCTTTGGTCCACCTTTTGGTCGCAAAGGCGCAGACGACGGATGATCCCTGTTCTGCATTCACATAAGGCGGCGACGGCGGCCATTTTGAAGAGGAGCGAACGACTCACCACTCCACCATGAGCGGCAGCTTCTCAGCGATGGAGCGCGACGAGTCGATCTCAATGGGGTAGTAAGTGTTCAACAGATCTTTCAACTGAGGCCAAAGGAAGACAAATACCGCGTTAAAAGAAGCTTTTATGCTTGTTGAGCTGCATTGTCCAATTGTGGGTGTACTTTATTGTCACTTTAATGAATCATTACACATTGAAACCACATTGAATGTAAGACAGCAGGAGTGCGAATGATAGTGATGGGACACTCACGTTTTAAGACAACCTCACGTAACAAAGGACACATCTGTGAATGTGAATTGAACTTTCCACCCACCTTTCCCTTGCATTCTTGAGAGATTAGCTTGCTGTTGTCGAGAATATCTGCGCACACATACACAAAAAAAATTCTTACCCGCCGAGTCGACGGTTTGTCTTACATATATTCCTCACATACGTCTACTTACTGTGACAAGTGGGACATCTTTTACCATTAAACGCAAATCTCGTGAGAGTCATGTCAAAGTCTGAGATGACCTATTAGAAGACACAGTTAACACGTCGCGTCACATGAGAAATGCTGAGGGAAAAGGCCACATTATAGGCACACCAACGACATACATTCCAATGAGAGCCAATCCCAAAGGAAAAAAAAAATCTGCCTTGGAAAATAATCAACTTAACTCGCCATTCATTTTAAATGGTTCTTGTTATCATTAGGCAGCTGAGATGGAATGAGAAGTGCGTATATCATGGACTGATCGCCAGCCTACATATTGTTTATGTAGTACATGAATTGAATTGTTTTGGACGTCATCAGATTTGAGCGACAGGTGTCTGACCTGTAACGTGTTTGAACCCGCTTTCAGCATGCATTGGAGGATCTCTTGGACTCTCTGCGGGTCCCTCATACACACAGAGGGGTTGGACAGCTCGGAGATCTGAAGAACAAAGTTAATTTTCGATTATACGGGGACGAAAAAAAGTCACTTCATCATGCAAACGACCAACTCGGCCGAACCGGTAGTCAGATGGTTACGAAACACGAAATGTCACTGGGTTGGGTAAACCGATATAAACATAACAAATGTTTCTAGATCCGAATTTCCAAAACAGCCGTTCGGTCCAAAAGTGAGACAGTTAAGTCGCGTTATAGCCTTACGACAGCAATTAGCTCGGGGCTATCCTACGAATATGAATACTAAGGGAGCTTGAGTCGCATTCATTTCAGGCGCCACACAGTCACCCCGTAAAACATTCTAGCTATAATTACCATTTCCAGAAAACTGTTATGTCGACAGTGGATTTCGAAGAAAAGTGCGTTTCACAGGTAGCGGTGGGGAAAAATGACACAGAGCTTCAACGCTTGTGTCGTGTAAAAGCGGGCGTGGAAAATGATCGTGATGTGTCGGTCGCGAACGAGCCGGTACAAAGAGCCGGCTCTATGAACTGAACGATGAGAGCCGGCACCCTTCCTCGAGAGCTGGCTCTGTCATTTTCCTTCTCTCTCTAACGCTGGCTCTGTCATTTTCCTTCTCTCTCTCTCTCTCTCTCTCTCTCTCTCTCTGTCGCTCTCTCTTTTTCTACGTGTCTGAAGCGAGGTTTGGCAGTGGGTCAGCTGCCGCGCTCAGAGAGGTAGACCAGAAGAGAAAGGGGAGGGGCGAGGGGCTTGGTCGTGACTGCACGGAGTGCAAGCTGAGCACATGCTCCGTCGCGTCTGCGCAGCCACAGACTAAGGACTAAGGAATTGACTTTCCCAGTTCCAACTCGTCCAGAAGATCATAAAACACAACGACAAAGACCAACATGGTGAGACAGCACCTGATAAAGGTACCCAGAGAGTTGTATTTTTTCGGTGGGACTGTACTTGTAAAGTGGAGAGCCACTTCAGTCGAAGGTTTGTGATTCCTATTGGTCACCAGTAGACGGCGCCCTTATGTTTCGCAAAGACCTTGTCAACGCAGTCGACGACCGGCGCGAGCCTCTTGCAAGTTTGCGGTCGAATTTTACAATGATTCTTACTGCTGTTAGCTGACATTGGAAAGCGAAATCGGGTTTATTGTTTCCCCTTGCCAATGGCGGGCCCTCTGCTGGAGTTTGAGACCGAAATGTTTCTGACCCTGTCCAGCTGTGACGGGCTGCTCGTGGTGGCGGAGAGGCTGGGAAGAGACCGCATTCTGCTGGAGTTCATGCGGGTGGACTCGGAACAAGGCGGCCTGGTTGTACGACTTAACGCTACCACCCCTGAACAACTCAACACCCCCGCGCAGCTCAACACCACAAAGATATTTTGAGCATGTTCCAAAAAAAATAGCATGCGGTATTTTTATACAACACATCATGATTTCTCCAGCGCTTACACGACAGCTGTCACACAGCGCTTGACAAAATTTTGGCAAATTATCCTGTGCCGGTCGATCGGGACATCGCCCCCCGCCCGCCGACACACAAGCCTCCCATTGACGCATTGTCGTAGTTGGGTCAACTTTGTTTTGGAAGTGGTGGGGGGGGTTTGTGTTTGTTCGAGAACCGAAATTTGTTCGTCATCCGAGGCATAAAAAACTCAAATTTTTTGGTCGAAAACCGATTTGGTTGAGAACAGAGACGTTTGAAAGCCGAGGTTTGACTGTATGTGAATGATAAAAGTTAATTGCACATTTGTCTAAGGAAATCTTAGGTGTTTCATGAAATGTTTTGTAAAAGATATGTTCATTAAATTTCAAAATTTTCCGAGTGTTTTTGTGCATCTTTAGACCAAAACAAAGGAAAGACATGTTATTTTGGTTATTTATAGCAGAGTATGGTATCAATTTTAATGGTCCGGCCCACTTGACATCTACCGAGGCCCGATGTGTCCCACAATGTGAAATGAGTTTGACACCCTTGCTATACATGGTCGATTTTTCGGCAAGAAACGCCTTACTATACGTGGTCGTTTTTTTTGGCTAAAAACGCCTTACTATACATGGTCGTTTTTTTCGGCTAAAAACGCCTTACTATACAATGTCGTTTTTTTCGTGCCAAAAACGCCTTAATATACAATGCCGTTTTTTTCGTGCTAAAAACGCCTTACTATACATGGTCGTTTTTTTCACCCCAAAACGCCTTACTATACATGGTCGTTTTTTTCGGCTAAAAACGCCTGACTATACATGGTCGTTTTTTTCGGCTCAAAACGCCTAACTATACATGGTCATTTTTTTCGGCTAAAAACGCCTTACTATACATGGTCGTT